AAGTCGACGTACTGAAGGCATTTCTGTATGTGACGGGCGTAGGCGGAGTTTCGGGGAGCTTTCGCGAGGGTTTCTCGGAGTTTGGCCGTCGAGATGGCGGACGATGTCATGGTTTACGTTTGGTTCGCCCGATGCAAAGCGGCGCGGTGTAGACTACGACAAACACCTCCAAACATGGTGTCCACACAATCCCACCTCACCGCCACAATCCAGGCTCACGCACGCGCGACAACCATATCAGCTATATACATAATCCTATCATGACGTCCACAATCCCGAAATCTACGTGCAAACTATCTTGGTACCTAGAGAACAAGATTGGGTATAATTTGGATTGTTTTCAAGGCTCAAATATCAGCAACCGTAACGCAAATCTTGTGTAACGTCGAATATATATGGTACAAGTCGCGTACAAGAACGCTGGTCATGCCCTGGATGCCGACGGAAGGCTCAGTATAATTCACAACTTGAGTATCGCTCATTGGTACCTAGGTATATGATCATGCACAAAACTTGGGAAATCTTGAAAGATTCCAGTTCCGGCGTTCCGCCCCTTCCACGATGTTCGTGGTATCGCAGCTTCCTATCTCTATGGAGGTGCATGTATGTATAAAAATACTTCAAGTACTTAAGTCCAGATTCATTCGTACGAGCGCCAGAGTCAGTTCCGATAATTATATTGAAGCCAATTCCTTGTGCAACTTAACAGCCTCAAACTTGGCAATAGAATCGCCCACATTCGGGTCTAGCTTCCGACGATGCAATGCTTATTTCTTCTGTTGTGAGATCCGAAGCCCTGAAGATTACTAAACGCCTCCTCGGGAGCGGCTTAGCTTTTTGATACCTTCCCTTCAATCACGCGAATAACACCACGATACAACTCAAGTCGAGATCACAAAACACTCGGACAGCGCGCAATACGATGTAGCAATCGCCTAGCGGTTCGGCAGATGAAATGAAAAATTCGTTATATCACGAGAAAGCTCGTGTAGTAGCAGGGCATCTCGACGATTACTGAACGGAACGACCGACGAACTCAGGGTACTATTCACGATCAAACATGCCCGCTCAACGTCAATATATACACACATAATCAATAATATACACCCTTTACGACCAGCCCACTATTGAAATTGAGCTCCCGGCGCAGGAAATCGGTGGAACGTTTCTCGCTTATGCAGGCGCAGCTTACAAGTTAAATCCAGTTTCGGAAGGTAGCTACCACGGGCCTTCTGAAAAGCCTCACGCCGGGCCGAGATACATACACAATGAACTGCTAAGCATACATGCAGGGGGCAGGTCTGCACGATTCATGCGCGCAGAATGGAAGTTTCGCAGCAATGTCGTCAGACACTCATTCGCAGTCGAAAGCAACCGCAGCCGAGAGCCTCAGTTCGTAGCTACCCGTTTCGTGCTTCCTGCGCCCGCGGGCCAGGCCAGGGGAAAGTCGAGCTTACAGTGGCAATGCACTATGCCTGCTTTGTTCGAGTAAACATTTTGCTATCGACCGTACGAGTGAAACTCAATGCCATAGCGGGAGTGTGTTATTCGAATTCTATATCAAGAGCCAATCGCCCTCGATGCTTCGACAACATCACCAACACACGGAATCCAACACCTCGAGCCTCAATCTACAGAAGTGTCTTGCTCCACTCTTGGCTCGATCATCAAGTACAGTTGAGGATCGCAACATCGGCCCTCCTATATATCCAATATGCTCCTCTTCAGAGCATCAGCTCTGCTGCTGTGCGCCTATGGCGTCTCGGCCCTCCCCACAAGAACAACCGACCTGGTTGAGCGCCAGGACGGTTCCAACATTGTCACCGCCCATTTCGTGGTACGTACACAGTCCTGCTCTCACTATAACCCAATATATCTCGCTGACCGATAGATCAACAATTCAGATGGGAATAGCCGGTGGCTACTCTGAAGACAACTGGCGACAAGACATCAACGCCGCCAAAGATATGGGCATCGAGGCGTTCGCATTGAACATCGCAAAGCAGTCCACAGACGCTTTCACACCCACCCAGCTAGCCCTGGCGTACAACGTCGCCCAGAGCCTGAACTTCAAGATGTATATTTCCTTCGACTTTGCCTGGTTCGTCGCGGACGGCAGCTCCGTATCCGAGATCACTAGCTACCTGCAGACATACGCTGCCCACCCAGCGGCACTGAAGCACAATGGCAAGTCGGTGGTGACGTCGTTTATCGGCGACGACTTTGGGGGTAACTGGAATAATGTGCGCAACCAGGTCTCCACGCCGCTGGAGATTCTGCCGAATTGGCGACCGGATACCGTCAGGAACAATCAGGGCGTCGTCGACGGGGCTTTCTCGTGGATTGCCTGGCCGAGTCGGGATAACAATCCCGTACCGGGCCCGATGACCACGGCATCTGACGAGGCTTATCTGTCTGCTCTTGGCGGGAAGACATACATGGCCCGTAAGTTTAATCACACCAGCGCGCATGCTCGAGAATCCAGCTACTAATCTACTACTTTTGAACGATCCAGCTATCTCTCCTTGGTTCTTCACCCACTTTGACTTCAACAGCTGGAAGAAGAACTGGATCTTTGCCAGCGACGACCTCTATGTGACCCGATGGAACCAGATCCTGTCCCTAGCCCCGCCACTCATCCAACTCGTCACATGGAACGGTAATCAGGCACCCTCCGTATACATTTTCAAATGAACAGCCGCTAACATACATGCACAGACTTTGGCGAATCCTCCTACATTGGTCCCTACAACCCCGGCCACAGCGACGACGGCTCCAGCAAGTGGGCCGACGGCTTCCCCCACGACGCCTGGCGCACCCTCGGCAAGCCCTTCATCGCCGCCTACAAATCCGGCTCGAAGACCCCAACCGTCACCGAAGAAAAGATCGTCTACTGGTACCGCCCACACCCCAAGGGCCTAACCTGCAACGACCCTCTCGCCCGTCCCGACGGCGCCGACTTCGCGCAAGACAAGATCTTCGTTGCAACAATGCTACAATCACCCGCCTCGATCGTCGTCCAGAGCGGTGACAAAGGCCCAGTCACCATCAACGTCCCCGCTGGCATCACCCTCTCATCCGTCGACATGGGTGTCGGCACGCAAACCTTCAAACTCCAGCGAAACGGCTGCGACGTCATCTCAGGCACAGGCGGTATCCCCATCGCCGGCAGCTGCGAAAGATATAACTTCAACGCCTTCGTCGGCGAACTCTCACCATCAGGCGGCTGCCAGGCCCCGCCATCACCACCCGTAAGCTCTCCCACCAACACTCCTCCACCACCACCACCGACCGGCGGCCCAGTCTGCAACCACGGCACCGGCGACGGCAACTTTATAGGTCTATGCGAATTCTCATGCTTCTACGGCTACTGTCCTGAGGGTGTTTGCCGGTGTACCTCGTGGGGCGCTCCGAACCCCCCGCCTCCGACGAACGGGAAGGACGGTGTACCGCTGCCTGGAGAGAACGACGGATACCTAGGCCTGTGCAGCTTCGCTTGCAACCACGGATACTGCCCGCCAACCGCCTGCATGTATGCGTGAGACACATAGCTAATCTAAGGGCCAGTCTCGATGTAAGGCATAAAAACGGATAGAATGATGGAACGAGAGAAGTGAGAAAATGATCGATGCATTTCGCATGATATTCTTTGTTAACACGCATAGCTATTGCATTTCCGGCGCAGACTCTGTTGCATGTATATACTTAATCATGAATAGACACTCATGTCAGTCAAACCAATAAACCCAGCCAGGTATAGGATAAAACAACCAAAGAAGGCCACATCAAGAAGAGACGCCAAGCTGGCGAACGTTTAGACAAGCCCCGAATCCTCGCACCTCATACCATTGCATCATCGTGGAGATTGAAATCGATTTTTGGTTCCGCAGCCTTTACGACAACGCGGCTCCCTTGTTGCATTTTAGTCGTTTGAATGCAGTTCTCGAGCTTCGGTTTCTCTGATGCCGGACCCGCTGTGGCTGGTGCTATAAACTTCAAGGGAGAGTCCGGCCTGGGCGGTGTAACCTGCTGCACTTTCTTTCCGAGCATCCACTTCGTAGGTACCCGCGCCGGCGTAAAGAACAGCCAGCCGCCATCAGGCAGATGCGAATGCGCAATCGGTCTCTTGGGACCAGATGCCGATCGATATCCAGGACCTTGCCGTAGACGAGCAGGGAGGGTGTTCATGCGAGGATTATTGAATCGAGTGGTGGTGGTTACGAACGGTGTCGAGTTCAGAGAAGGGGCAGAAGCGACAGGGAAATGATGGATGTATTCGGGATGGTCGGATGCCAAACTGCTAGCCGCAGGATTAGGAACAAGGGGACTCGATTCCAGCGGAATGATTTGCGAGTCTATTGGACGCCAATTGTTGCGGCGAAGCACAGAGGGTGGGAAGACGCAGTATGGATGCGGCCAGATGGGGCATACCCCAGTGATTTCGTCCCTGAAGCAGTGGAAGGCCTGGTTGGCTGGGTAGTCTAAGACGTTGGGTTCAGCCATGGTTGATCTATGCGTCTGCGAACCGGTAATGACGTTCGAAGGTTCGATCTGAAGTTTGTGACAATGAATGTCTTTTGAGTAGCAGCCCTATCAGGTCGTCTTGACTAGGCCAACGTTCCGATTATGAGATGAATGCTGATTATCGCAGTTAATGAAGCGTTGTAGGCAGCTTTAGTGTTGATGTTGCATTCTGTATGTTATAGGAGGTGGACAGGCTCAACAGCTGTATAAGAAGGAAGTATCGATGACTCTAGACCCTTAAAACAGAGCAATAGATATACGTAACGACAAATAACACCGCCATTAGAACACAACATCGTGTCGAGGCTGATCACTGACATCTACCAGCCCCCTATACATCTATTCTGGTGTTTGACTTCCAAGATGTTCAGATAATCTCTCGCATCCACTCTAATGCTGGTCCCGATGTTTGTCTCGTCAAACCAGCCCAAATTGGAGCAAAAAGAATGCGAGCCAGAGCTCGAAAATGGCAAAAAAGGTCGAATTGGGATTCGAACCCAAGTTATCGGAAGATTTCGTGGCCGAAACCTAACATCAAAATCCGATGTGATAACCAACTACACTATTCAACCGTAGCTGACGGCGAGCTGGCTTACTTGCAGTATATCATACTAACTCGGACAGGAGACATACACAGGGGACCAAAACCTGAGAAATTTAACGGCATTCTCAGCAAGGACGATTCAACGTCTTCTTGGCGAGACCAAAGAGGCATCATATCATCCCGGGTATCTCCAGGTTTTCGGAACCAATACTTCGCAAGAGATGGATTAGATAAGATGACATTGCAACGCAGTTGAACGTCAAAACAACACACTGTCATCGGCTTGTATTGGCCCTTCCGAGATCTCCTGGCGAATGCCACCGCTGAACTCTTCGGTCAAACTACGCCTTCAGTGACATACCCGAGACCTGCAAACTTTCTTCCCAAATATCATGCAAATATTCGAGTGGGCATGTGTTTTGTGTAAAAGTTGTCTCTGCGTTCGCACGTAATATGCATATTTACCTACCCTATATTCAGAGCAGCCTGCGCAGGCGTGTAGAGCCTAGAACGCTTGATTATCCCATAGAGTGCAGCACAAAGACGGCTTAGAGATTTAACCACATCAAAGTTTTCGAAATAGATATACCGCTGTTAGAGGAATTAAAATTTGGTATATATACCCACAGCACAACCATGGCTGCCGAAAGGAATCTAAAATCCAATGTATCCAGGACAAAATGTTTAACCCATAACAAAAGAAAATAAGACACTCGAACACCCAAAACGCCAAACATTACAATCTACCATATGGAATCGCATCCGCTGAGACGCAAAAGTCCGCGTAGGAGAGCAGCTTCCTAGGACCCTGCTAAGGGCCATCGCCAGTCTCAGTCGGCCAGAGCGCTCCGTGGGTAAAGCACTTCTGAGCTCAACCCCCCTCCACCACCACCGTCGTCATTATTATCGTAGCCTTCGTAAATAGCCACAAGCAGAACAGGAAAAAACACAGGATATGAAAAAATGTCCAAAAATATGGCACCGCGAGCATCGCCAAGCATAACTCTCATCGCAGTCGTCAAGGTCATTATATCGATCTGAAGTGCGTGTGCACCCACGCGTTCGGTCGGCCCCCGACTCAGATCGGATGAAGCACAGCAGCTCGAGTGCTTCCGCGTCTTTGAAGCCGTACTACGACCAGATTCGCAGCGCCTATACTCACCACTATCAGCTGCAGTCCTAGACACACGCCGTTCCGACCCGCCAATAACGAAGGGAAAGGGCCGAACATACACGTATAATCATAGACACAAAGACGTGACGGTAGGTAGATTATAGGTGGATGTATAGAGGGTGCCGTAGGAACAATCTACTCACTTCGCCCTCCTCCCCATGGTCGCCCCACAACGCCAGCCACCCCGCCTCCTGAATCGTCGTGCACACTTCCACACCCCTCTCGCAGCACGCGAGCGCAAACCGCACTTCGCCCGCCAGACTGCCGTTGCGCACATCCCCCGCCCACGCCATCACCAGTCTGTGCGGGTCCAGCGTCTCGACGTTGGCGTTAACATTGTACTCTGAGTCCGCGTCCATCAGTGCGTCCAGCTGCCGGTTATCCTGCTGCGGCCCGACAAAGTCGGATAGAGGGGCTATCGAGGCGAGAAACTGCTCGTAGGCGGTATTGTGAAACGGGAAGAAGCGGTAGAGAAGGTATGTTTCGCCGGGTATCTCGATGGCTATGATCTTGGGCCGGAGGAAGCGCGGTTGCGGCTCCGAGGGCGCGGTGGGCGGGTTGTTGGCGTCGTCGCGCGACGAGTATTTGGGCTGGATCAGCCACATTAGCGGCGCGATCTTGGTCCAGTTGCTCGCGTTGAAGATTTGCGGGGTGTATTTCTCGATGTGCGAGCGGAGGTCCCGCCCGTCGGGCGTGTATGTGCTCACGACGGTGACGGGCGGGACGAGCCGGTGCTTGCTCTTGCGAAGCAGGTAGTCCGGTATTGTCTCCGAGTGTTCTATAAAACACGGTTAGTATATATAACTTCAACGCTGAATATTGCATTTATATGCATATATGCTTAAACTCACCCAGTACCTCGCCATCGACGAGCTTCAGCGCATAGAACATGAGCCCAGCAAACTTCTTCATCTCCAACATCCGCGTCTCCTCACTCCACTCCTCCACCTTCTTCAGCGTCCGATCAATACACAGCTCTCCCAGCGCCGCCCGTATAAGCTCGTCGTGCCTGGCATCCCTCGTGATCCGCCCAGAGCCACCAGACTGAATGATGCTCTCGACGAGGTCCTTCACCTGCATCCGTTGCTTGATCCTCATCCCCCGCAGCAGCTCGACCGCGTTATCCAGCGCTGGATCCTCGCGTTTGTACGCCGCGTACGCCTCTACCCTGCGAACTCGAAGCTCCCCCTGCGGCACGTACGGCGAAGACGCGGCCGAGGAGCCCGTCGCGGGGCTCTTGTGACCGCCGAAGGAACTGGCGCTGAAGCGACTTGAGGAGCCGAAGAAGAGCGACGGATGCGATATCTTGGTGAGGAGGGATGGCCGCTGCTGTCTCGCCATCTTTGCCGCGAAAGATGAACCAACCGGGGATCTAGACTGCGCATTCCCCATCACGACTGACGGATCGTGAAAGCCCTGCAGTGTCGAGCGGGCCTTTGATGGTAGAACTTGCACAGGGTTAGTCTAGGCCGGCCGGGTATGCGATGAGGAGGGAGGGTGCTTGTCGACTGGTGAACTCCTGGCAGCACAGCACTGACAGAAATGGGGCGGCCGCTGTCAACGTCACAGCAAAGCAGAAGGGACGTCCTTGACAAGATTTGAGAAGAGCCAGCTTGTAAATAATCACAGTCGAACGGCCAAACTGTTTATGTCCGCAAATTTCCTGGTAACAGCCGCCCGCCGACGCCGCCGTCAAATCTGCGCGGCCGCTTGGCATGGAAACTGCAAGTTGTGCGCCTGCGTTGCGGCGCCAAAATGCGACACCCCGCTGACTAAGACTCTCGTACTATCGACTACTACCAGGCTGCATGCGGCATAAATGAGGTCCGAGTGCTACTTTAGTCGTATTCTACGTATCGTGCTAGCCCGGCTGGCCATCTCTGTATCCAGGTCGAACGAGGGCAAACGGAAGCACGGGAGAATGTTCCGAGCTGCCCATACCTGCACCACGCCGGTTTTGCTAGTCGCACTGCCATTTCGCGCCTCCGCGGACGCTTGGCTTGACGCCACGCCTTCATCATGCGTCGCCGGCCCAGCTGCCTGCCGAGCCGGACGATCGAGTAATGAATTCATGCACTCTGTGACAGTGGACTGACAGGTGCGTACATACTTACATCGTATACATGTAGAATTCAGGGGACCAATCGTCGACAAGCATGGAGATATCGATCAGCATGCCTGGCTGAAGACCAATGATTCTAGGCAGAAGCGTCGATAAGTAGATCCTTCGAGGCTCATGTACATACGCATAACTTTGCTATCACTCGTATGACGATTCCGTAATATAAATGATTCGCTTCAAGAGTATATATATAGTGTATACTAGCCGCTGACCCCAAGCGAACGGTACACCGGATGGATCCACTCTTACGTATACAATTCCTTATATAGATTCTATTCTATTCCGAATTCCAGAACATGGCCCATAAACGACCCTATCGATCGCAAATTTCATTCCAATCGCACCTTCTCTATAGATCTAGCCGAAGAACCGGCCGACAGTCAAAGGACGTTAAGAGTTCGATATTAATCGATGCGCCGGTAACCGCGTTGTCCACGAAAATGCAACAAACCAAATTCGGCAGCACGGCATTCAGTAACATCCCATGATGGGAACACCACTGTGCCACCCTGCAGCCGCATAAACCCCTCTATCCCTTATCCCTGATATTTACGCGCAGTCGATTATCTCAGACTTCTCGAATTCTATTCTATAGAAACAGCGCTATACTATACTACACTAATTCCGTATACATGCATGCATGAGCGAGCGTCCAGCTCCGTCGATCGAGCACCAGCACAAACTAACACTACAAGTTACACCAGTACTGTACTGTCTGTTGGTAATTCGCAAAACATAAAGACAAAGTCAGAGTCATAATACACCATGAATTCGAACAATAGTCGACAACCAAACACGACAAGCCGTTGATACAAAACAGTAATGGCAGCACAGATCATAGAAAAGAGAAGACAGAAGGCCCTCGCTGAGCCCTGATAAAACAGACAAACAGACAGACAAACAAACAGACATCATGAAAGAAACAATCGCACGCGCATAATGATACAGCTCGCCATGTACCAACAAATAACCATAAGACAACCTGCGAATCGATGGAAGAAACGGGGAAGCAAGGGGTGTATAGACAGACAACTATGATTATCCTCTCGCCAGAAGAAAGTTCAGAAAAATATAAAGAAAGATAAGGGAGTGCGGATCTAATGGCATGAAAAAGAGAAAAAAAGAAAACCAATAGTTAACAGCACTCCCTTATCAGCCCCACCACCCCCACTTCTTCTTCGTTTTTGACTCTGCCTGCTGTTGTTTTTGTTGTTGATGTGGTAATTGCTCTATTTCTTGCGGTTCCGACTTTTCTGAATTGGGCGTGAGGGGGATAGGCACGGGAGACCTCGATCGCGTTCTCGCAGCGGTGAGGAATGCGAACCCGTCCTTCTCAGCCAGCAGGGGGGAATAAGAAGCAGATATCGGTGTAGTAGCGCCGCTCTTGGCGCTGGCGGCGTACTTGCCGGTCGGGGTGGCGGGACTCAGTAATTGCTAATCGCCAAGGGCTTTGCGCAGCTCGTTCCACCGCGTCTTCAGCAGCTCATGTGCTTCCGTAATCTGATTGAGAAGAGTTGATTAGCTTCGTGCATCGGTGAATAGTGTAGAGTAGGATGTGTTTACCTCCGCCAAGCTCATCTTGGTGCCCACGAGCTCCATCTCCATCTCGCGCATCTGGTCTTCCAGCGACTGGTTCTCGTTGTGGATTTCCAGATTCCTCTTCATGATCCGCTCCATCTCGTCCTTCAGCTTCGCCTCAACTTCCTTCGGCTGCTTGTCGATGACGACCTTG